CCATGTCAGAACTGGGAGCTCTGGTCTTGCCTGTGAGCAGCACTGGCTTTGTGCTTAGGCCTGATTAGCGTCAAAGAGGAGCAGGTGGCAGGTGACAAGGCCAGCAGGCACAGTGGCTTTCTGACACAACCAGGCCAGCTTTCAGGTTATTCCTGCTCTCTGGGGTGCACGGGTGCTCTGGTTACTGGGAGTCTGTACTGGCTGGATCTGCAGCTCACTGGGCAGCCAGGTCCAAACCCAGCTCTGCTCTCAGCAGCCAAGCCCTAGCAGCATGCCTGGCTGCAGGCAGGGCTGCCCAGTTGGGAGCTGGCTGTGGCAGGGAACAGGAGCCAGGGCTTGTTGCTCTCCATCCTGCATCGCCTGCACCTTCTCTTGCTGCAGCTCAGATCAGCCAGTGCAGAGCTGGAAAGGTTGGGACATAACTAGCTGTCTAGTTACTAAGCTTCCCCACCTACATGGGGAGGGCAGTCAGGTTGTGTTGTAATGACTGGGACGTTTGTAGCATGCAAGTAATCTTTGGTTTGGCTCTTGCCTTGTCCCACAGGGAAGCTTGCATCTCGCCCTGCTCCATGATGCTGGCACTGGTTTACATTGAGAGACTCCGGCACCGGAACCCCGAATACCTTCAGCAAATCTCATCTTCAGACCTTTTCCTGATCTCCATGGTGAGTTGTGTAGGCTGGGGGGAAGAGGGGTGTCACTGGGTTGGAGGTAGGCCTGGAAAAGTGCAAGGGGGGACTGAGATCTCTCCTTTGTGCTGCTTTTAGATGGTTGCTAGTAAGTACCTGTATGATGAGGGTGAGGAGGAAGAAGTGTTCAATGACGAGTGGGGAGCAGCAGGAAAGGTGGACGTCCAGACAATGAATACACTGGAGATGAACTTTCTGAGCGCCATTGTAAGTGGGGCTGTCGCTGCAGCCAGCTGTTTCATGGAGCAGGGGATGGGGGGTTTTGAGGGGAGTCTGGATTTCTGCTTTGCCCCAACCTGCTCCCATGAAGGAATGGAGAAGGATGTGTCTGGGTGGTGGGTGGCCTGCACTGACCTTTCCCTGCTGTCCCTGCAGGACTGGAGTCTCTACACAGACCCCCGGGAGCTGTTTGAAGTGCTGAGCTGGCTGGAAGGACGGTAGGTGTGTGGGCTGGGGTGAGCCTTTCATCCATCTTGCAGCCCTGCTTGGCCCCTACTCATAGCTAGCCCTGCTGATCCCTGCTGCAGACCTCGAGCAGGGTGATCATTGGAGAAGTTCTATGCCACATCCACCATTCTCTGTGTTTTCCTGCAGTGTGGCAGAAAAGCAGGGTATGTGGCGTGGCTGGTTCACCTACACAGATCTGTGTGTCCTCATGGAGCAGTCGATGTGGCAGCATGTTCTGGGTCAATTCTACCAGCAAGTGGTGAAGGTAAGGGCATGGGACAGCAGCTGCTTGAAAAAATATGGGGCCCAGCAGGCCATGGATTCAGAGCAGGATCCTCTTTATTGCTGGGAGCAGCAGCTTGGTTTATTCCCTGTTGAAAAGGGAAGATGTCAGAAGCCAGAAGATGCCGATTTGCTGCAGTGCTGCCTGAGGCAATGCAGCCTGATGCTGCAGCCCCACGGGTCATGGTATAAGGTCATGGTGGTGGCATGGAAAGAACTGGCGCTGGCTGGTTATTTAAAGAGGGGCTGTTAAGTTTTAGCTGGGGCATTTTGGTTTATGGTATTTAGGTCCTGCTTTGGACAGGCTGCATGTCACCTGCTGTCAGCGGCATGGCTGCCTGTTCCCCAGCATCCAGCTCTGTGCTGGTCATGCCATTTGCCATCACAGCTGTGTGGCTGTGCTGGGTCACAGCTGGCTGTGGGGGCATGCAGCTGGGAGGTCTGGGCTAACCATCAACTTCTCTGCAGCTGGCCTGTCTCCTGGGCGTGGTGTACCTGACCGGCTTTGCTGCCGTCTTCGCCTCTGTCACCATGGTGCACCGGTCCGTGTGCCTGAGGAGCGTCAGTCCTGCAGCCCCCCAGCCTGCACTGTTCCCTGAGGAGAGCAGCTGCCAGCTGGATGCTCAGCCAGCCCCCGACCAGCTCCAGCCTGGGCTCCCTGACATCTCTCCAGCCAGCAACACCCGTTGCCTGGGGGAGAACAAGACAACTGAGGAACCACGTCGTGGGGCTGTCACGGCGACTGCGCTCTACCTGTGGGGCAGCGTGATATCGGCTCTGTCTTACCCAAAGGCACCTGATCTAGCCCAACACAGGAGCACCCTGCAAGGTCCCTTCCGGAGAGTACCCACATCCTGCGAGAGATCTAACCGTACTGCCCCCACCACAGCCCCCAGCAAGCCTGGCCCCTTCGGACTCGCCGTGCTCCCCGTTCCTCCAGCGCTCCACTGCCACGCCTGCTCAGCCGGCGCAGGCCCCACATGGGATGCAGGCCCCAACCGCAAGGACTGGCTGGACCCCCTGGGGCTGAGGCAGTGCTCCTTTCACACTGCCATGGATCTCAGCAGAATCAAGAGCTTCATCTTTCCCAGCTAGGACCATGGGGCAGCAGCCCCTTTCCCCTTTTTTCCTAATGTTGCACAACTCGCTTCCTTGCACTCTGGGACCCCTGATCCCTGGGATTGCGTGGGGATGAAGGCACTTACACCACCCCCTAACCAGCATTTGTGTCCCCCCACCTGGGGCAGGGTTGTCTTTCACTTTGGGGCTGCTGGGACAAGTTGGGACAGAGTTGGGCTTGCTATTGGGGTGCTGGGGTGGGAATCTACTAGCTGGAGGATAGAAATGGGGTGCTAGGGCAAGGGGTGTGTTGTACCTCTTCCTACAGCGAGTGGGTAGCCCTTGGTGGTGCTGGGCAGAGGTGGTGTGTGGATGTAGGATGCTGGGGCTGTGCATGCGGGGTGGAGGGGCTGGGGTAGGGACCCCAGTGGGGTAGCAGGGTCCACTGAGAGAAGGTGGGGTGCTTGGGTGAGGGGAGAGGTAGTAGAGCAGGGAGTGAGCAGCCTGAGCTCGTTGGCTGGAGCAGCAATTCCCATAGGGGCTGCCAGGCCACTTCTCTGGAGGCACAAGGGTCACACCAAGAGGGGACTGTGATACAGATGTGCCCCAGGGAAAAGTTGTGCCCCCCTGGGCTTGGAGGTAGTGAGGTGTGTTTAAGGCTGAGCTTCCTTATCCTGCTTGTGTTGGGTGCTTTGAAACTGGGGTGCTCTGTGACCCCATCCCAAACCCCAGCTGTCTGTGGTTGTGGGGAAACGGTGCCTGACTGCTCCTTGGAGCAGAGAGAAGGCACCTTCTCTTACTAACCAGCCCAGCTCATCGTCCCCCTTCTTTTTACTGTGGATTTTACACCTGTTTTTCACTCTTTTGTAGATGCAAATCTCTTCCAATAAAAGTAGTTCTTGCTGTGCACCTGCCTGGTCCTGCTGAGTTGCCCCCCCCTGCTGCCCCAGCCCTGTGCCTGTGCATTACAGCAGGCAGTGCTTGCCCGGAGCCACAGTGTAAGACAAGTTTTAGTGTTGGCAAGTGAGCACAAGAGCACTATGAGGCCTGTCCTGCAGGGTTCAAGGTGGACTAGACTCTGCTCACAGGAGGGACATTGGGTTTTGTGCCTGGGGATGGCAAGGGCAGTGGCAGAGAGGAGGTTCCCCATCTTGGGAATGTGGTGAATGCGTGGTATCCACTGCTCTTTGCTCTCTAAAGTCTGTCCAGTTAATAAATGAGCCCTGAGCAGCAAGAGATTGGCAGGGTCACCATTGTGGTTGCTGGCACAGCCACCTCTGCCCTGTGACAAAAACACAAGCATCCCCTGCCTGTGCTCCCTTGGGAGCCTTCCTAGCCCAAGTGGACAGCTCTTGATCCTGGCATTCCT